CACATTATCGTACAGTAATAACAGAGAGAGATTTGCCGCCGATTCCTCAAATAGATAACTTATACAATATTAGGCTCTATCTATAATATCCAAGCATTGTTTGTAGTCCATTAAGCAGTAATGGAGTTTCTTCTTTTCACACAGAAATTTACTGGTTATAGCGTACAACACAAACATTGCTTCAGTGGTACTACATGTATGAATTTAGGACGCATAATAATGCATAATACACACACTGGACAATAGAAGTGTGACCCCTACTGAACCAATACTTTGGGGGAGATAAATGGCTGTGGAATGATATGCTCCTGGTATCATTTTATTAACATCAAATTTCACAAAAAGACCAACAATACAATTCCATGGTACAACGGTTTTATACTCATTAGTCTCATTATAAGTAGACCAGGCATTATAACTTTGATTTCTCTGAGTCAGGGGGGTGGCACTTCTACTGTCCAGTGTGTGTACAAGTACTACCTTACAATGCGAGTAGCCTTGTGTTTACAGTATACATGAATAACTTGAAATATACAGATTAATAAACGTATTCCCTTATAATTACTAGGATCAGAATATTCACCCTGGAACAATCAATGGGTTGCAGAGAGTAAGGAAGTATCTTTTATCAATCATTGCATTAAACACCGGTATGACATAAAGATATGACAGTACTATTTCTGAAAATTCTATAAATTACTCATTTAAAATGCCATCATATCTATTGATTTTTATTACGCTTGGGAGTTTTAATGGATTCTTTTATTTCAACTTATTTATATTCTCTGTTTAATGCTTCAAAAATTGACCAACGTTCATTTTCTGAAGGGGCGCTGAGATCTCCACTCCCTCGTGGTCATTACTGGGCATCTTTTTGAAGAAATGGTCGGCAAATTAAACGTGATGAACATATTTTCTAATTTGAAAAACGCTTATAAAATCCACTAGGATTATATTTCCTCAACATGTATATTCAAGATTCTCAACTTGTGAAAGGAGACTATCATTTGCGAGGATGTAAACTGGGTGATTGTCAGGCGTTTTGCACACATTAAACCTATAAAGTGCCTTTTTTTATAATTTCCGAACAATCCTTTATAGCTATCATTGAACCACGGTTTGATGTGAATTTTTCTGTAGAACACTCTTAGATGCCCGTTTTTCTGGAGTATTTGATTGACTGCTGCACATGTTTATCTGGAAATGAGTGAAATCAATGACCGTGAAGTCTCAAAAGTCATTGAACTGCATTTCACCTTCGTAAGTGAACAGTTAATTGCGAAACAGCAATGTACTGAGTAGGACTAAATAAGACATTGCAAAGTGCAAACCCGCAAACCCGCACTACCTGTATGCGATTAGAAGAAAACGACTGATTTATGATTAGCCTGTACCGGGCGGCCTTCACATGATCTGCAGTTAAATTTTTAATTTGTATTTAGTGATGTGAAGAGACCTGGGGCTTATTATCCCAACGGAAGCTATTATGTTTGTCTCTACTTATATTGTTTACACAAATGACATTTAAAATGTATCTTTCTCTCTCGCACCTAGTGCGTATCTTTAATAAACAAAACAGTAACACAATGACTTGTTATCTACATACTCTAACACGGATTGTCAATAACGCAAATGGCTCATTTAGCACGTATAATATCATCTAGACACTAATTAGGTAAAGACTGCCTGACAGTGAACGCGCTCTTTTTGCCAATCCAAATTGGTCTTCTTAACGGCCTTTATCTTATCAGAAGTCGAAGAAATGAATAAAAACAGGTAACATTCATACTTTCCAACAGCAATACATCTGTAGTGTATTCTCTACCTTCAGAGCTTTCCTTTTGACGGAAGGTATCGGGGAAGAAGTATGCCCATACCTATTAAATTATGTATGTGCCTGTACGTTATGTCTTTCAACATTACATAAGCAAATATTGGCAAGTGTATCGATCTAACATGCAGTGATCATCTGATTTATTTGAACATGGGTTTATGCTATTTTCAACCACATGCATATTGAGGATCTCTCGTACAACTTAAAATACAGCATGTTTCTTCGTTTCATTGTTTATCCTGTCTCTGTCTCGAGAAGCTACAAGTAAAACATAAATATGACCAATCATCCTCGTTAAACCTTCAGAAATTTGTCATATTTTTGTTAAATCGTTTAAGATGTAAATCAAAACACCAGTAGACAGGTGTAATATAAAACATGATTCTAAGCAAAATATGGGCTGGGTACTTGACAAACGCGCTAAATTGTCTTGAATCAACAACGAGAGTCCATTATAATTCAAGAGACTGTTAGCTGAAGGTCAATACACTAATATATCTCGCAATGAAAGTTTAAGGTTTTTAATGGTATCTTTTGTAATCTATTATTGTTCTTCGTGTTTGAACAAGACGTGTGCCCCTCAGGCAAGTAAACTTTGACTTATTATTTATCATATTTAATACGTGAATTTATGCATGGTTCAAGAACGGTGTTCACTTCCTATTGCTGAACATTTCCAATGCGGATAAGCAAACAAATATATTGACGTTGCATATGGCCTTTACATGTATCAAAGGGGTGAAATAAAGAAGAAAATGAAAAAAGATTAAATTATATCGTCGAGGAAAGTATTTCAAAAACTGATATTTATTGTATATAAATATGCATGACATTAAATTGGCAACTAGGACAATTTTAATTTAGTCTCTGTTATTTTCGAAATCAAAGTTAAGGCTGGTGAAGTGGCAACATCATGGTAGAATTCCTCGCGTCATATTCCGTATTCATCCTGAGAGGCCTCACTCTTTTGTATATTATATCATTACATTTACTGTTGGCTATTTACTAATCGCCCCTTGTTTGCCAACATGTTATTGGACAGGCCTTTTACTGTGCCATTAACCAATATTATTGGCATGGACGCACTGTGGTGACGCAGATAATAGGCCATGGAAACGAGAAAGACAACTTTGGTGGTGTATATGCATTCACTGTATTACTATCGAAGCCACAGAGGAGACCAGAGAAGCTGAAGAAGTAAGAGTGTTATTCCTTTCCTACAAATAGTAAGGCAAAAGCAGGTAAGTGAATTTACTTGCTAATAGAAATATGAAGGGTTTTTTTATTAATATTAATTTTTTATTTATTTTTATTTATATGCTATTATAAAATCCAAAGCAGAGGTTTTTCAGTTTTCCATAAAAAAAATAAATAAATAAATAAAAAAAAAAATAAAAAAAAGAAAGAAAAACATAGAGCACAATTTAAAGAATAAGTATCGTTTTAACGTTAATACATTTTAAAGAAATAAACTGCATTTAATCGCAATATATCATATCAATATTATACTGAGAGAGAGAGAGAGAGAGAGAGAGAGAGAGAGAGAGAGAAAGGTTAATGATCCATTCATTCTGTTGACAGCAGGTGTTTGATTGTTAAATTGTTTCATGCGGGGTGGGTGCGGGTTAACAGTCGTCCACATCAGGGGAAATTCAAATGTGATTAAATCCGAGGTTGGAACTCGATAAACGTAAAATCAAAATGTGTTGTAATTTGCCAGAACACTTATTTCATTAGTAAGTCGTGTTTCATCCATGAAAGATAAACTCGCACAATAATGCTGTCCAAAGGCTGACTTTAACAAGATAAATATCAGAATTATTATTTTTTTTCCTTTGGAAATAATTTTGTATTGTAGAAATGAATATTCAGAAAATGTTCTTCATTGCATTTATTTACATATCATATCTTGTGTTTAATACTAGAAAGTACGACTGGGATATACCAGTAAAACCTAACAATTCCCGACCTATAACAACTCACAGTAAAACAAGGATAGCTTCCTTCATTGAAAAATTATGAAATTTTATTTAACTAATGGTAATCAAGCTGTGGATATGATGCTTGTTCGAAAAAACAAGAACACCGTCTTTCGATTTTTGACATTTTTTTTTTCAAAAGAACAACCGTAATCGAGTGTTATTTTCAACATGCGATGATTTTTTTTTTACCTTAGTGAGGGCTTTGATATATACTTAAAGAGTATGTAGTACTGTCCAGAAAAACAACTAAACACGCCAAAAATGATAATACAATAATCCATCCAACTGTTCAAAAAGTGCTTACAGATTTGATAAAAATTTAATGATATGCGAAATGATTTTTGATTCCCCTCTGCGGTTTGATCGGTGCATTACTGAAAATCGTTAAACTTTTCATTTAACACCGAGAGGTAAAAAGGGTGTTACATTTGTCACCGTCTGCTCCCTTATATCCGCAGGCTGGCCGACGTCTAGTGCAAAGGTGGTACTAATCTGACCTCTTGTTTGTCGAATGATCACTGTATGGACCAGGTGTAAATCTGATCACTAGAACCTGGACACGTCCCTTTACATTACCGTTATTTTATGCTCCACTAGGCCCATGTCTTTCACTAACTGTAGAAAACCATGAAAATCACCAATTAAGCGTGCTCTAACCATCTTGCGCAGAAATAGTAATTTGCAATTAATAATTGAATGAGAACGGGTCAACGCTAAACAGCCGGACGTGCTTCGTAAAGGGTCAAAAGCGTCATTATCTCATTCTTATAAACATTAAGCCCCTTCAGCATCGTTGGCATCAGTGATAGGAAATCAATTTTGTTGCGCTTTCTGTTTATTTGTCCACCACCTTTTATAATTATAAATTGATACCGTCCAAAATTGAGCGCGGTTACTGAAATAGTGCATTTTTAAATTTAGCATGGGAAAACTAGTGAAATTGATCAATTAGATGGGCTGTATACTTCATCCTCAAATCATAAATAAGGTGATTGATAATTCCTATTGCTGCAGTTCATGCACATGTACCGCGTTTTCCTGATGTTGAATCAACTAAATCAGCGAAACAATGCCGCGGTTTCTTGATATCGAACAATAGACCAGTCATCATCGATCTTAATGTTTTCTTAAGGTTTGTATAGGGTGAAATAATTCTGTCCGCTCAATGACGGGGTTTGGGGTAATGTAAAGACTGTTTGTGTCATGGCGCTCTCGTAACCCGGGTGACGGACTAAGGCAGGTACCCGTAATGATACGATGGCCTGTTTATCTAGCATGGAGTAAGCGAGGAAGAGTGGTCAGTGAATGGTCTCTAAGTGTGGGCACTGTAAACAATGTCCAAAATCAAGTTATATATACTCTGTTTAATACCGATGGGCTCGTTTTCATCAAATAATTTTGCCTTTATATGTGTGTGAAATCGATAGTTCAGTGTTTGTTGATACCATTCGGGTTTAGCAGTACTAGGTTTCCCCTTGCTCAAACGGGTTTACAAATCTTACGTTGAGCGGTAGGAACAAAACGGATTTTTGTGCAAGTAAGTGCTTTTAATATACTTAAAATGTAAAGCAAATTTAATCCGAGTCTTCATAAAGAATTAGCACGCTGTCTTATCTCTTCTCAGGTAGGCTGTTCTACCAGGACCACTGTTTGACTCTCATTTTGTGACAAGGCAGAATCTCTTCCTGGACGCTGATTGGCTCGTGTTGCATTGTCTGCACGACGAAATAGTCCACTACTGCGATAGCAGCAATCCGTCACCAAAGGCAGATATAAACCGATAGTGCCATCTTCGTGATTTCAGAAAATATCGCTGAGGAAATGCGCACTGTGAGAATTTTCCACTGCACTGACAGTGAATGATACTTAATGAGAAGAGTGGGCACCTGCTCTGCGTATTCAACTACTGGAAGTCAGTAAAGGAGATTTGAGCTAACGATCACGGACAGTTATCTCTGTGTAATCCGAATAAGACGGGGTTGGAATCTCAGAAATACGGCACCGTAGACACACAGAACTGTGCAGCTTTACCTTTAGATTGTGCAGGCATTGGCAACAGCTTAGAAGGAAGTAAACAAATTTTAACATTGCTTTCAAGAAAGGGGGGACTTAAATGTCTTCTCTTTATTGCTAAACAGAGCGTTGCGTACATTATACTTTATTGCGCCGTCGCTTCATAACCAGTATCAAAGAAGATGGCAACGACGATGTCTGCTATTAATGCGACATTAAATGCCACAGAGGCCCCCTACCAGGCGTTATGTGCGGCAGGGCATGATCCAGCTCCTTCTCCAATTCCTACTGGAGTGAGAATATTCCTGGGAGTCTTACTCAGTATCATAGACTTGGCTGTAATATTGGGCAACTTGCTGGTCGTTATCGCAATTTTGAAGTTCGAACAATTAAGAAGCAAGATCACAAACTATTTTATCGTTTCTCTTGCTATATCAGATATGTGTGTAGGGGTATTTGTTCTCCCTTTTGCTGCCATCCAGGACTTGCTCGGCAACTGGCCATTCGGTCATTATTGCCTTACTTGGGTGAGTTTTGATGTCATGATGTCAACTGCATCCATTCTTAATCTTTTGATGATCGCCGTCGAAAGATACATAGCTGTGACTCGCCCATTCCATTATCACGAAATCGTGACCAACAAGACTGCCGGAATCATGCTGGGTGTTGCTTGGATTGCCTCTGGCATGGTTTCCTTCATCCCTTTACAACTAGAATGGTTTTACTTCGAAGGGGACTACAGGTGGCACCAGTGGGCCACGGATCAAGCTCTTGGACCTCTATGTAAATTGGCGTTCAACCCATATTATGCTATTATCTCGTCGAGTATCAGTTTCTACGTCCCTCTTATAATGATGACATTCCTGTACGGCAGAGTCTTTGCCATCGCTCGCAGACAAGCCAAGCAAATTGCAGACATGGACAAAGCGATGGCTAATGTCCGCAAAGATGGAAAGGGAACTAAACGTTCAGAAAATAAAGCCACCAAAACCATGGCAACTGTCATGGGGGTATTCATTTTGTGCTGGTTGCCGTTCTTCATCTTGAACTGTCTATTAGGCTGGGACCCTGAAATGCTACTGTGTAAACTAAATCCCAACTTTATGGACATATTTTCTTTCTTCGTCTGGCTGGGCTGGATAAACTCGGTGTTCAACCCGTTTATTTATTCACTGAACCCAAGTTTCCGAGCGGCATATAGGAAAATATTGTGTCGCTGCTGTGGCAAGGGACAATCGAGAGCCAGAGGTTACTACGAAGACTATACAGTCAGCACTGTCGGTATGTATCACTTCCTTTTCTTCTTCTTCTTCTCTCTTTCTCTCTCTCTCTCTCTCTCTCTCTCTCACACACACACACACACACACACACACACACACACACACACACAGTCCTCACCTGTATTAACTATGTTTAAACCCGTTTAATTTTCAGGATGTTTACACATTTCAACGATAAAACTGAATTTACAGATTAAGGTTATGTAGCATTGTAATTAGATTATTTAAGGCCTGCATAAGACTGATGGGTTTTCTGACATGCCTTCTTTTCCCAATTCAATTAGTGGCATTAATCTTCCTCAGATCGAAATTTTCAGTTTTGTGCATTGAGATTCCACATCAGTTGCGCTATATTTATTACCAACCTTTTTGTTTGCAATGGTGCATTCCGCGATGAGTAGGTAATGGATAAATTGGCAACTTTTTCACAGGTACACCCTGTATTAGATCTATAGACTACACCATCACAACTATAAAGTTAATGTCTGTAGACGTTTTGTGGTTTTATTGATGAATATGCACTATAAATTCCTAATGCTTTGTCTCGTTTCATAAGCGCATCCACCCACTGCAACAATATTCAAATGAACTGGGGATATATGTACATATGGAACATTTCTTAAAATGCATCATGGCAGCAGAGGCGATATGTATAGGAGTTGATTATTTGCTATATCACCCATTTAGCAATAGGAAATCCTTGCAGTGATGTGAAAAAAAGATCTAGGTAAAGCGATTATACAGCAATGAAGTAAAATAATGTTTATCTGCCACATGTTTTAGGAAAATTTTGGAGAATTATTGAAGCAGATAATTTGGGTGTAGATGGCCAGCTTTTGGTGTTCCCGATTATTGAAATTATCCGGCTAGACTTCTTATGCCCCTATTTCACACAGACCACGAATCCCACGAATGGCCAGGAATTGACAAATTTCACGATTCGTGGTTGAATCGTAATCAGATCGTGAAGTTCTTAACAGATTCGTATATACTCGTAGTAAGTTCTTGCACTTCGTGACCAACAGGAATTGGTGGCAAAAACTTTGATGCCCCTATTTCACACAGACCACGAATCCCACGAATCGCCAGGAATTGAAAATTTCACGATTCGTGGTTGAATCGTAATCAGTTCGTGAAGTTCTTAACAGATTCGTATATAATCGTAGTTAGTTTTTGCAATTCTTGATCAATCGGGAATTCGTGGCAAACATTTTAAGCTGTTCAATGTTTTGGCCACGAACTCCCGATTCCAAAAAATCGTAGTGAATTTCTGGACAATATATATATATATTTCGTGCGATTCCAGCCGAATCCCACGAATATTCGTAACACTATCGCACCTGTATCGTAACTGAATCGTAGAGCGTGTCGAATTAGACCAGAAAATTGGCAAAATCTCACGAATCCTCACGAATCCTGAAATTTCTCAATTCCTGGCGATTCGTGGGATTCGTGGTCTGTGTGAAATAAGGGGCCTTAAACATAGCAAATATTTCACTGGCCTCCACACCATTTCTACTATATCATCAAAAACCAAAGGACGAAACTAAATCTTTACTAGCAAAATCTATATGCAGATCACAAGCGAATATGCTACGTGGTTGAATTTCCCTGCATTGGGTTAAGTATAGTCTAAACCAAAGGGCTATGTCAGTTAAACCTTCAACCAGAAGCATGGATAAACCGGCCAGTTAGGCATTTCAACATGTAACGCTTATCATATATATCCTTACGTGTACCCGAGATGTATTAAAATATAGTTTCGTCACATGTCATTGATAATCATTAAAACATTTATGAAAGTTTTCGAGAACTGTTGCCTCCACCATCATTTTCTAAAGATCAAAGGCAAATGGACATAAACGTTTACATTATTGCCGTCTCATTTGTTTGATTGAAAGTGCAGGAACTTTGTACATCTTACCGGTACAATAGGTTCATTGATTTTTTTAGACAGAAAAGTCAAATTAATAGATATGCTCTTCATTCACTGATATTGCTGTTAATTGTGAGTAAATACATTGTGTAACGTTATACATACTGCACACAGCTTGGCAAAGTAGAGATAAAGGCGAAAGACTGGTACACGGACACTGGGGAAATTTGTTGTTAAAAATCAGAGTCCGTTCTTCGATAGATAAAGACGATACTATGTCTGGATCAATGTAACTGGTTATTGCATTCCAAACTACAGCGGCCGTGTTACTGATGAGATTTGAAGAAAAGCGCTCCTAAAATGAATTTATTCATTATCTCGGCTAACCTGAACAGTTTCCAAATGAAAGTCATGGGTAATCGTTCTAGTAGATACCTTATAGTTGCATGTGGAATAGTTACAATCATTTGTCAAGGAAGCAATTTTATTGAATTAAATACGGTCGGAAAATAACTGCCCCCTACATATTTCATCTTTATATGATCTCGAAAACTCAAACTCATTTTAGAAAAAAAAAACTCAATGCAAGTATCTTCCTCTATTCAATAAGCCGTTTTATGCTTCATACAATAAAGCAAATTAAAATGGCGTTCTACTCTCCCTCTTGGGAGCGTTGATTGATGGAGAGGATGATTCCTGTCCAAGACCGGAGAAGACAATTATACCATGCCAATGTTTTTTTCTGCACTTTGCCTACCTAGACTTTGTAATCAGGAAATTCACTTGAACACGTTGAAAAAGTCTCAGTGATAGTTATGACAGAGTGTTCAGCGCGTTCAGTGCTTTAATTTATTTATCTTGTTGGAAGATAATTTATTTATTTATTTATTTATTTATTTATTTATTTATTTTGTTTCCAAACGTCACCATTAGGGTTTCGTGCTGCAAGACAGGCCTTTTTGTCTTGTCAATATTTATTTTGCTAAATTCCCGAAGGTACAATGACAAAGCATGACTTTAAGTGAATGATACTTTCAAGCTAGAGTTCTTGGTTAAATATAAAGGACAAAGATGACAAAGACGGCAATAAATGACAAGTCACGTTTATTAAACTTTGACAAAGTCGTTTGCAGCTCAGGGGTTGTTCTTTATTAACTTAAACAAATAACTTACGTTATTAATAAATGATGACTATAGTCTGTGTTTGTAACATAGCACAGGTTTTTGAAAAGAAACAAGAAACATAAAACATGAAATCCCAGCAAATAGTCTTTAGATGATTTTCTTGGGAGTACACTTGGTGTTTAACTACCAAAACACATTTTATTGCAACTTAATTTAAATCGATATACAGGTAAGCCATTATTATTCGTATTTGTGGTTAAAGGCGATAACGTTTCTTATAGATTCCCAAGTTGTTGATTTAGCTTTCGATATGACTATTCTTCGCAGTTATTTTTAGTTATCCAGCTACATAAAGTCCAACATTTGTAACAGAACGTTCCAAGCTGTATACCAGTACCTGTGAACTACAATGAATCGCAATATAATCTAACGTCTCATTGGTTTCCCGTTGTTATGAACTTTTCGATGAACCCTTCAAGCAGCAACTCCTAGCTCTTGCCAAATATAATTTTTTCTCGAACAAAGGGAAATTGTTAGACTGTAAAATTTTAGTCATCTATTTAATTACATGCAGCCCATAAGCTGAGGTTGTTTTTTCTCTTTATCTTCTTTCTAATCAAAGAGCAATTGGAAATAACATATTTTAGTAATTCTGTGTTCTTAAAAGAAGATAGATTTGCAAAAACCCTACGAGTCTGTAATATGGATGAGCATCTCCTTTGGTAGCGTTATTCTTGTCAAACGGTTGTCGCGTGCTATTGCATAAGGCGTTGATGCAATCAAATAGGAGTCCAGAATTATTAATATGACAACTTCAAAGAAATAAGCGAGCTTATGACACCAGTCAGATTAACCCACTTGGTTGTTAAGCTCGGGGAGAGGAGAAGAACAGATTGCTCAACTTTTGTTTTGTTCCCCTTAACAGCATTGTGGTCCTGCAAAGACGGGCTATATCAACATGTCTCTTTATACAGTGTATGTACAGTGAACCCACTGTTATCCAATAATGATGGAAAACGAGCTTAAATTGATCATTGAAGCCATTCGTCATTTCAGGATTGGTGCATAGTCATACCTCAAACTTATCTCGCCATCGAACGGTCAATTCATTTATTGGTAGACATTGTGATTGTTAAATTATTCGTAGTCACAGCAACAAACAAAAAGATGATTTTCCATATTCAACAACAGATTTGGTACAAACAACGATTATTTTTGGCCTCCGCCAAGGGGTTGTTTTTTTAGCCTTGTTGATCTGTAAGTTAAAAGCCTAACTCAAATATTATAAAAAGAATCTTTACAAAATTTCAGAAAATGGGCTAACTTACAGTAGATTATATTAAGGTGATGGTCCATTAATTAATTAATTAATTGATGATGAGAATTCAGTTGCTTTGGCGGAAGTACGTGCTCTCGAGTGTTTTTCTAGTTTTATGGAAAAAATGATATGCTATAATTATATGTTCATTCAATAATCTAATGCCGAATTCTTGATTTTTAGACCTGAACTTACAACAGACATGGGTTCACGGTAGTTTCATTCTGTCGCTGTTAATAATATTCCACTGATGGACTTCTAATAGAGATGGCAAAAAGCCATGTGCTTGTACATGTATTTACGAACGTTTTGTGTTCAATAGAAAAAATCTAGCTCACTGACTTGTGAAAAGTAGATTACTATTGAAAATCTCGAAACACATATTGGCCCTGGACACTTTTGTTTGTGTTGGGATTTGTAGACCTCCCGGCCATTAGGGCCGTTAAAGTGGTCAAACAAATAATTTGTGAAGTTTTCTGTGCGACAGATGCAGTTAAACGAAAGGCATATTAAACAGTAGCGTATTTGACGAGAATGCCTGTCAAAGAAATCTAACATGGACACCGTTTAAAATCCTTCTTCACATATCTATGCAAGCATTTTTCTATTGAGGTGTCACAGCTGGTTGCCTTTTATACTGTATGAAACCAATGGCAAAAGAACTGTTGTCCATTCTTTGATACATGAAACTGTGCAGAAAATCATACGTGCTCACTCTCTCTATTACTAAAATGTCCTTTGATAAAATGGCGCGAAATAATTATTATTTTCATCGCATGGACACGTGTAAATGACATTTTGTTATGCTCTCCTCGATGGCGTCATTAAAGCGCAAATTAATGTTTATTTTTATTATGCTAGCAATTGACGTGTCACTATGTAAACCGTGTAGAACTATAATTATGTAATTGAAGATACAACCTTTATCCACCTAAATCAAAACCATCTCTCACGGAAGCCTAACGACATTGTGCATTTGTTAGTTGATCGCGTTGGCAAGCGTTTTTCTTTTTACAAACCCGCAGATTCAGTCACCCAGACTTTATGGTTTGACCCCTCTCACTATGGTTACATGGTCTGTTTCTAAAAACTCTTTCGCTGACAAGTCAGAGTTGAATGTGAATCAATTTTTGAAATCAAAAGAATGCTTACACCTGATTAATAATTACTACAATTTGCTTTTTGGGAAGGTGGTAAACAGAAATTGCTTTCTTGGCATATATTTGATTTTCAGGGGAGGACATTTTGATAAAGCCGTCGTCCATTTAGTTGGAATGCGCACGTACTTTTACATATACTAGTAATACTAAAAAGACCTTTGCCATGCTCTCACCAGCTGCAGCTTGTTTTGGCGCTTTATCCTGAGAAATAAGCATATTACCGAGGTGAATGCCGTACAATAAGACCTATAGATACATTCACTGAAATGATGTGCACGTGTATGTACGATTTCCACCTAGGATTGGTAAACATTGATCATAAAGATTGACGATTGGGACATTGGAAACAACGTGGATAGAACCGGTAATCATGCATCTTCATAGGTGCAGTAATTACTCTGCCTTTAATATAAGACAAGTTTAAGCTTGTTCTAATAATTCTGCATGGTATTTCATTCTGGTTTGCAATTATCTAGGCACCAGAAGAAAACCAACGACAATGGAGAGTGGCGGAGCCCTACCGACAGTGCCATCTATCGATGTTTTACCTCATAATGCCGATGGTATACCTGTTTTTTTTGGTGTAATGCAAACGTTATTTCCGTAGCAGGTTGATGTATTGCCTCCATCTGCAACCTCAGCTAATTAGTCAGTGCGAGTTTTGGTGTTGAATACAGTGAAATGTTTATTAATGTTGCTTGGTTACCTAGGTAATAGTGCTCTGCTTTATTTACACGACGTACAAAACTGTCAAAATATCAGATTTTATAAAATCTAACTATTTTTATTTATTTATTTTAAAAAATTGGCTCTAGTATGATTCAGTATTAAATTGAAAAAAAGGTAAGACAAAAGAGAAAGAAAAAACTAGAAAGAGAAAGAGGAAAAATTAATGCAACGGGTACTTGTTCGATTGTAGATTGTATTCATGTAAAAATGTATAGAAAACTGGGCATGATTATGGTAACTGTTGTATTGCGCTCAAGTCGACTTTATAATCTTTCAAAGAATGGGCCATATGAGACACAATAAAGCATGCTGTTGAGACAAAAGCAACCACCCTTCAGCATGCACATTACATTCTACCTAGTATGTCACTTGATGTCACTGTAATATTCAATAGAAACTTGTGTCCTTCTCTCCGTGTAGTGGGTGCTTTCACCTTTAGTGATTATCCAAGACAGTGGGCTTCATATTTCAAATGTATTGTTTTTGCTTCATATTTCAAACGTATTGTTTTTGTTATTGTTTACCTTTGCCCGTGTCTCTAAATGTATGTATTCGTACTGTTTAAAGCATTTTGTTATTGGCGGCCTATATGATAAGATATTGAACGAGGTTTCGAGAGCCATCAATTTAACATATTTTTCTTGTACAGTCGTTAATTAGATTTTCGTTTTACATTTCGGAATGGACCTAATTCTTTGACTTTTTTTATAGGTTGAACCTTCAAGAAGAACACTTTGGATTTTTCAAAACACAACCAGCGGTCAAATTGACAAGCGGCTTCTATTAATCACTGCTCAAGTTTGTCACCAACCTAAAGACAACAGAAGGCCAACCGACCTTAAACATTATGTACTCATAATGAGAGCGCGTCGAACACTAACTTATTTTCAACGTGCAAAGTTCCTGTGGATTGCGAGAAAAGAGAGTATCTGTACTTGCTAGACATTGCTATCCGCATTACGAAAATTATTCCATCAATGATGTTGGCATATTGGATGGAAACGAGAGCACCATTTCCATAATGATGATTTGTGATTGACTTTGACAGATAATGCCTGGTTGTATTTTACGGTAATATGAGGTAATATACTGAAGACGTGTTATAACTATACTATACGGTGAAAAATCTCCAGGAAAAAGTTTTTACCTAGCATTGTCGAGTGTCTACACATGTATTGAAGACCTGCACAAATGGTGTGGCGGAAACCGTATAAAATGACACTATGAGCTAACAAGAATTCTATTGCCTATAGCCAAATGCTTATTGTAGAAAACTAACTGGACAAGTAATTAATGTAAAGTCTATTGTAAAATATCTGAATGAAATCTGCTTAAAATGACACTATGAGCTAGCATGTTACGTGCTAGGTTCATGCATTTTATTGCCTGTAGCCAAATGCTTATTGTAGGAAACTTACTGGACAAGTAATTTAAATTCTATTGTAAAATACCTTAACCTTGACTTGCACTGTAAGAATGTTATTTGGCACATAAACTCCAATATATTTAAGCAATAAACAATGACAGGTATCAAACATTCTTTTATGGTTAACATGTAAAGGGAGCACCTAACCTACGTAATTGTTTGCACTGGCGCTGTGCAAACTGCAATCACCAAAGTTCTACACATTTTTGGCGTAACGGAAATTGTGTATGTGGATGCTTTGATCTATGCTTTGGGAATGTTTAGTGGGGAAATATGAAGGTTTTTGTTATTGGCTGTTCTGCTGTGCTAGACATTTCCAACAACTGTAGGATCTATTTGATCCATTTCTTAATTTCCTGAGGCTAATATCTTTATTGCTTTTGCATGCTGTTCAAAGATCATTATACACGTCTGGATTCAAGTTTTAATTCTCTGATAGAAATTGACGAAGCTACTTCGAAGTGATTTAGGCTGGGTAATTAATTGAAAAAACCCATTTTCATTATTACAACTCGTTAAGGTCAAGGTCGATTTTTGAAAAGTTCAAAGATAATTAACCCACATGTACATGTACAAATGCAAACGACGTCTCTGGCTTACTACTTAACAGACGTGCCAGTTACCATAAGTTCATGTAAGTTCTCACCATTTTGATATGCTTTATAACCACGTGAAAACGTGAAAACTTATTCAATTTACTTCAGGAGATTTGTCATAACTTTTCCCAAAGGAGGAATAAAAGTTCAATCATTAATAAAACATTCCCGTAGAACATTTTTTCTTTAGATGGATACGAACTTATTTGTCATTGTTTGTGTGAATCACTGAAAGATGATTTTTGTCAGATTCATCAACAGCGTCAGCAGGAAACTGGAAAAAGAACGGGAATTCATAAGTGGTTACTTCAAACCATGTTGTCACATCTGGAATATCCGCCAAGTAACAATACATTATCCTTCAGTATCCTACACAAAGCTTCAGATAAAATTGACCACCTTTAAATGTACATGATCTGGACACAAGGTGTGCTGTAAAAGGGAGGTGTTTTAGTAAAACTCGGCCAGTTATAAATACGGTTTACAATCGTTCTATCGATCGTCTGTCGCATTCATTGAACACCTGCCGTGATCCTAGATAAAAAACGTCGGTTGAGATGATTACGGTCAAAAATTATCATTTCAGATCTAAAGGTTGTGACGTTTCTGAGATTTTACGACAGGTGTTTGACTTTAATGTAATTGATTGCATTTGTCAAAATAAAAAGACGGCTGAAGGGATAAAAGACAAAAAAGCACTTGGACACAATTTTAAGCCTCCAACAGTTTTTTGTTCGTTTGTTTGTTACTGACAATGTCACACTTTACAGTATATCTTAAAGTGATCAAAGTGGTTGCACGGGTTCTGTAAATTATCATTTACATTTATGTAGGAACTTTGGGCCAGGAAAGGTGGATTTCTCTAAAGATGTTACACAAATTTAATTCAAAAAAATTCAGGAAAATAAAATAAAATTAACGCCGCTTAATGAAGTATTAATACAATTAATCAATTAACTTAGATAGGGTTCTCAATTTATATAACCAGTTTAAGGTCTTTCGTGACCAGTTTAAGAAAAAGCATGCACGAACTGCTGAATAAAGCCCAAGATGACACATATGCCGTTTCCTTTTATTTTCAGAAGTTGTAACTGCCATTCAAGGGAGATTCATGCTTTCTTATTGTGGTTCGTTCACGAAAACTTAATGGCAAAATATATCTGTGATGAAAATTTAAAAACAAAACAAAAATGAGAGTGTTCCTTTATATTGAACAACATATGTAGCGAAAGTTGAAAATTGATTTGCAAAATCTATTTATGGACGCGCAGTTTTAAATGTCAGAGAACCAAAGGAAATTCTTCCTTCCTACACATTTTCCAAAATGTGTTTTTCGCCCACACAGTGAACATTCATTCAGCGCATTGCGATAAGGCTTCATATAACGTTCCATGTGCCATGAAATCTTAGCCGAGTAGGGGTGAGGGGGTTCCTCCATCCTGTATAAATGACTGTTGCCATTAATATAGTAGATTATGTTCAATGAATATGCCATGTTTCGCATGTTAAGTCAGTTCTCATGTAAAATGCCAAGGAAACGTACATGAAGACTATTTGGAATTAAACTTGGAAGAAAATGCCCATCTCTAGGTCTCTACAAACCCCAATGGTGCATTTCGTATTATCCCATTTTAAGTGAAGTGGACCTATCTCTTGAATCTGAGTCTAATTTGGCATATGAATGATGTTCGCTCTATGATGTTATCTTTTCTCTACTCTGCGTGTCCCTATAAGAGAAAAGATACCTTTATGCCTTCACAATAAACTAACTACTTTGTGATACCGTACATCACTTTAGGTTTAATCAATTTTCAACAGGAAATATCCTTCAGAGGTAACGATTTCCTGGATACTTCCAAAGGCTAAAGATTCATTGCAACAGTATAAGGTATAGTTTCTAGGTGCTGATTAAGACAATATTTGAGCCAAAATAATGAAATGTGGCACCACTTCAGAGCTTGCTGAATGAAGGTACGTACATATTGTTCTGCTCTCTCTCTCTCTCTCTCTCTCTCTCTCTCTCTCACACACACACACACACACACACACACACACCTGGAGCTTACGTTCATGTGTACCTGATTCATTTCACAATGCTTATTGCTTATTCTCATAGTTAATTCTTTTAAATTTAAACGTTTTGTGATTTTTGTTGATCAAATCGGAATACACACAAACACGAACACATACACAACAGGCGAGTAAACAAACACCCCTAACTTTAAAATTGAATTTTCTACACACATCACATTTTAACGAAATCTATTTTATTAATGATACTGAATTGTATTGCCCCGCATCAAAAAGGTGAAAAAACGCACTTACATTTATAAATATTTGAATATTTTACAAGATCTTAAATAGAAGGCTTCAACCATCGAGTTCCATATTATCCTGCTCCTGCGTGTATATGATATTGTCTCCAGCGGTGGAAATGTTTTTGTAAAATCGTGATTTAGTTCATTTTTCCACCTGGTCTCAGAACAAATACATATTGAATGCTACATTGGCAGCTTGTTGCATCCAATATGGCCGTCAGTGTCACATAAAAATATACCGGGGTATACCCCGGTACATCCGCATATGAAAGGTCGTTTATTTTGGTCCATATGACGGTTTTAGCCCAAATGTGCACCAGAAACTTGTTTATATTTATTCCTTTACTTTATTGAGTTATTTTGTTACGTTGCAATTTGATATATCTAAAATGGCCGCCGATCACCATTAACTTTCACACACATTATTCAGACATCAAAATTAAAGCAAACAACAAATTTTAGATGTTTAGTTGGTGTAGATATCAATACTGAAGTTGAATGCAGCAGCCTATTAAATATTTTACATATACAAGGTGACTGTCAAGTACAATAGATAAATATACATCTTCCTTCCATATTGCAGAGTACAGGGTTCCAAAAAGGGTGTTGCTATCTGTGGTGATGCTTTGTATAGCTCAGCATTCAAGTTGTCACTGCCCGATGCCTTTCTGTTCTTCACTGACAATATTGCCTCCATTATTTCAGTCTTTTTAGGGCTGTTTAAGTGTAAATTTTAATTTTCTGTTGCTTCTGGTGTATCTGCCTGCGTTGATGGTTCAGGGTTTCAGTCTAAAAGTGTTATGTCTTTCTTTTTTTTTTGTTATGTCCTATATTTTAGTGCATATAGAACCCCAATCTTATCTGCAATTGGGAGATAATGGCTCTTTGTGCCAATTTCTCCACAGATAGCTGATAAAATACCCTTAATCTAATATAACCCAGGGTAAATTGGGAGCAGACCGCTTGTACAGTTACAAAAAATGGTTGTGTTTTTCGACCTTAGGTTATTCTTAGTGTACTTCTGCATGTAGATTTAGCCCGAATTGATGTTGACGTAAATTTCGGTTTGGCAGTTGCGGTCAACTTTCGGTCTTACGATTTTTGTGAACCTGAGCCAAACTAGATTGTTTGTGATGCACTACGCACAAATAGGGAGTGAAAAGGAAAATTTTGGTCTGTACATTTGCATGTAACAGCATTCGTACCTGCACCTAGGTTTTGACTCATCGCTCTTTAACCTCTGCATTCTCGCCTGTCAACGTTAGTTGTTAAGGCCTTACGAATGTTTAATTAATTGAAAAAAGCCTAGAACCTCAAAGGAATACGCCGACCTGACAAAACTAGTGATTGAAGTGAAAACACTTTTTACGTCTTTGGCATGCCATAGTCGCATGTACATGCTTAATTTTATTTTTGTAGTAGTTATTACTATTTATTCTTTTTAATAATGAGTGCGTCATTATACCTACTGATACATTACGTGTGTATTTCACATAATTTGTAATTTGTGTGTCAGGGTAAATCTATAGATGTATGCAACGGAACTGATATTTCATGTACAGGAGTATTACACTGATGCATGCAACAAGCACGAATTCAGTACACTTAAACAAAAGCTTACAATGTACACCTAGCGGAAATGGCAGCGATATCCTTTAAGACAATACATCATGTCTACTGTTTTGATAAGAAGCGGAAAACACGATCACAAGATCATGATAATTGATGAATTGTATAAATGGCATAGATGGGATAATCCAATGGTCCCATCGTACAAAAGAATATATGTACTGGAGTCATGTTAAAGTTTTACTGGAAATACATGAAACCAACTAAAATTGAAATGAAAAAAATCCTAACTTTAAAAGTCAGCCATAAAACATTTGCCGTAATGCAGCTAACTCCATAAATAAGGCCATTTTTAAGTTTGGCCAGTAGCGGCAGATTAAAAAGGATTTTCAGTTCGGTCAGTCATTTTTCTTTTTTTCGCATTGCTTTTAGAATACAGAGGTGGTGGGGCGCTTAGACACATATAATATTGAAATAACGGTGATTGTAGGCTGTGGGGAAGGGGAAAAGTTTTTTGTGATCTGGTAACTTTTCCTATTTCCAAGTCTATAAGTCTCTTGTTTTTCCTTCAGTCAATGTCTAGATAAGTTCATACAGACCCATTGAATGTAATGTAGGTCTTCAACTGCTGCATGTATCCCGAGCATTTATCTCAGCCTACTGCATGTACGACCGTTGTGGTGCCATGTATTAGCGTGAATGGAAATAGGGATTGTCTTCGTCGCCATATCTCCCTGCAACAACTAATTATAAAAATAAACAGGATGAGCTGCAAGAACATTTTATCTTATTGTGTGATACATGCACATCTTGAACTTGTAAAACTTAATATTTGACCTCAGTACGTACATGTAAGTCTGCTTCTTCGTCATTAGTGGGTCAGAAATTGAATACCCTCTTCCACTGCGTCATTATCAGTTACAAGTAGGATCAAATATTACTGACACACACATTATAGTTACATTACATGGACACAGGGTTGAAATGCAACCTATGTAGTCTCATATAAAATCGAATTTGGCTAATTTTTATGATATTACTTTCGACGTCCATATTGATTAGATGTCGGCGTTGAATTCGCACACAAACTCCCTGGGATGAGATCTCCTAATAATTGAATTGTTTTGAAAGGTGAGTACATACTTAACGATTTCAGACCAATTTTGGAACATTGGTCAAACGGAGAGATAAGGATATTTCTATTTTCATTGTTTTTCTTTTTGGAAGGCGTTCACTGCTACACAAATATACATTTCTGACACAATAGCACAATTTAACATAGTCTGCTGGGTTACTAAACGTATTTACCTGATAAAATGAATATGAACGCCCTTATGGAAAAAGTAATCGGGCTGTTTATATTACGTGTCTGAGCGATTACATTTAAATCCCATCACGTAACGATTAACTTACTCAACAGACTGTTCACTAGCTACATGCCTGAGCGATGTTTTCTAGGGTGAATTAAAGTGGGAATGCATATACCAGTGAATTAGACAAATCAAAAACACTTAAACAAACAACATCCTTCGTCCAGGTAAATTACTTGAACCCACTTACTGCACATGTAATGTATACAGCAGTTTGCTGGAAAAGGCGAATGTAGTAGCTGAAACCAAGGCTATATGCTCAACTAACACAATAATCTGAAGTACCTACTGAGGCATTATTTCCAAGTTTAAACCTAGTGTTTATTGCTGGAGTAACAACAGAGTAAAATCGCGGACCATTAACGTGTCCGTTTACAAGATGAAATAAATAAAGTTGTTATGGAGAATGTAAGTGAATATGAGAGAATGCAGATTGGGCGAATAAATCAATATTATATGTACAGGTAGTTGTCCGTTTTGTGTAACCTTGTGATTAAGATGTGCCGACTAGGACAAGGTTATACTGATAAATCACATACGAATGCGGAAAGGTTTTGTCTCATCAGCAAGATAAATGGAATGGAATTGTTTGATGCTTATAACGGTTTAAATTATATATATATATACCGGGTATCAGTTCGGAAATATTCGTAATTTCAGTAACTTTTGGAAATGTTAAATGATCGGTTCCCTTTTGAAGTGTAGTACATGTAGACTGGAGCCATACCCCGTCCTGGGCACTTTATCCTTACGTTGTGGCCTCATTCTAAATAAATTTTAACGAAACCCCCCCCCCCCCCCCCAACACACATACCACATCAAACATCCACAGCAACCACCTTTCAAAAACCTTTCAAGTAAAACTTCAAGGCCTGCTGTTTTTTCATGAAATATGCCCTTAGGTAAGGTCAGCAAAAGTTCTCACTCCCATATGCCTTTGATTTCTACCCATTCCTTTAGAAACCGTCAGAGAAAGAGAAAGTAAATTCTAATTATACTCTTTCCTTTATTAAAATAACCATGAAAGAAAAGCACTAACAAAGTTACCGTACGTGCGTTAGCGGGTACTTGCACCTTGAGACCTCCGCGGCCCCTAGAGCTTGACACCTCAGTGGAGATTGATTCAGACCCTCTCATCGCGTGAAAGATGCGGAACACAGAATTTAAATACAACTTGAACAAAAGAGTTTTTATTATTTACACTGTTCTGACATAAAGAGCCACGTTAAATGGATAATAACCGCATCGACCATGCTATAAATGGTAAAGGGTTTATATAGATTGAGGCACTGCTGTTCGATGTAACGTTCTAGCACAAAGGTAGCAGAGTGCCAGTAAATAAACATAGATCTATAAACTAGGCTAACGAAAGGGGTGAAGCAGAGGTGAGCGCATACCACCAATATTGAGGAATAAAAATGCGTTTTGTATGCTAATAACACCAAATTGGACTCATCGCTTATTGGTGGGCTAAAATATCACATTTATAGGCAAAACACCGTAGGTGATTAAAGATAAGGTGAAAATATACATAAATGCTTTTAAAGTAAAAGTAACAACCATGCAATAATCAATTTAACGATCTTTAGAAAGAATGAAATGTACGTGTACATGTAGGCATGTCAAATAAGAAAAGAAACGTGTGATGATCAATCCAAGTGTGATATACTGGTATAAAGTATGTAATCTATCTTAGGGTGCATTTAAATTAACCCATCGTACAAGCTGGGTCGGTCCAACTCGCTAAAGTATCATCAGTGGAATCAGCATAATCAGCACAAGATAGTCGAGGAGGCGTGTCAGACAATTAAGCTGATTCCACTGAATGCACTTTAACAAGATTCCCCCACAGAGTTGGACCAACCCAGTGTGAATCCGAATGCATTCTTCGTGTTCATCTTGGCGTTATAGATAGGTCCTGTAGGAAAGGAAGTGCCTTCTTATTGAGGAGAGGGGGTTGCGGTCGGCTTTCATGTATAACAATTTTAAAAGACCTCTGATAGAGAGTAATTTTCGGTGATGTGTACCCGACCTTACAAAGACCTCCCCGCCCCACGTTCTACCGGCAGAGAAAAAATCTGCCGTCATGACTGTTGTTGCTTGTGATAAAAGTCATTTTAATTGCATTTGAAATATCACAGTTATAAACCTAGCTTAAAGATGTTCTGTGAGATGCTTATCCACGTATAACTACATTGTGGTAGTTGAGATGATTTGACTAGCCCATCCTTGATTGTGGATAATATCTAACTTTTTTTCAAAACCTTAGGTGAATAAGGGACAATTACAAATATATAAACACATACAAATTATCTAACAAGTATATTAATTCATTATGCTGTGTTGGAACATGGAATTACTACAGACTGGGAATATTAGTGGAAGAATGGTGGCAGGGTGAAAAATACATGTGAAGGTTTCTACATGTACATGTATGTATGTATGTATCCCCAACAAATCTCATGGTAAGCTCGGTAGTCCCTGCCAAGGGCTAAAGTGTTAGTCAAGACCGGTGCTTATTAGTATTGTGTTTATCGTGCTCAGTTTTATTCAATATTTTGTTAATCTAACATACGCCAATGTTCATTGAAGTACTACAATTATTCGTTCGATTTAGCACGGAGGGTAAAACGACTGGCATCATTTAACGTCTATACTTTCATTACCTACAGAGCCGTGTGAACAGCAGGCATGCTGAACAATACTAACGCTTTATAGTTTTAATCGATTTAATGAGGCAGTTCAAAGTTACAAAGTCGCGTGCTGGTTAAGATTACGACATCCAGGATTTTCAGATTTAAAAATCACACGCCCCTGACCAACGTGTGGTAAGCTTTCATAGTGCGGCTTGCTGTTACTTCTTCTTCCGTAAACTGTTTGAACAAATTTAATCCCCCGTGATTTACTCCGGGTCCCACCCACTGGTACTGAACCGCAAGATCGGTCAAAGAGCGAGTGATTGTTCACCCTAAAGTGTTCCCCACCTCCCGATTCCGTAGGCTTGCCGCGTACATAAGTAATTTGCTGCAACTCAATTTTTCTTTCTTACAATCAATTACAGATCAGTGGATCTCATCAAGCCAACTGGCATATGGGATGAAAATATTAGCAGAGGTATCGACTCCTTACATCACTAAACAGCCAACGTTTTAAACACGCCTGTTAACACCTGTGCATTGAGAGAGTGGAGAGGAGAGTGGATTCGTGATCTTAGGCGTCTGAGGGAAAGTAAACAGACTTGCTGTTTTCAATGGGTGGCGGATAATAGCCGTCAATAGAAGTGTTTTAACTACTTCTATAACCACACAGATATCGACCTGTGAAGGGAAATAGAATGCACTGTAGTAATTTCAGCTGTGGTTGGGCCCGCATAGCAGGTATTTGGATGTTTTCATGAGATTCTCTCATTAAAGGGGTGTAAATGACAAGCAGGTATCTCGTTGTCCGTCAAATTGGGACGTACGTCTGAAAGGTTACATACACAAGGCTATATGTACAAGATAATCACAAGAGTTGGATTTAAAAGATACCCGAATCATCCTTCTGCAGCAACATGCGTTATGCTTCATGGAAAGGACTTGTATCATACTTGTAACTCATATAAAATAACTATATAGTGTTGACGGCAAGGCAAAAGCGGAGTCGCAATTAGCAATGTATGGAGGTAGGCCGGATTTAATCTCTCAACTCTTGAGCAAACTTTGAAGCCGCACTGTGCATAGCATTTATTAGCCATAGACAACATCATGAAGTATGTACGCGCGGCAATCAGATCTATGCTGAGGTCCCATCGAGCGTGGTCAGTGACTGTCGATTGCACTGGGTAAGTGACTCTCCAGTTGTAGAATTCGCTTCTGACCAAGGTCAAGAGTGAAGGCTGTCAGACACTACGGACTCAGCACACTCGATGGTGACTTGCGAAAGTAAAGCATGGTAAAGTAATCTGATTCTGTTATTGGGAGTATATAAGAAATAAGAAGGACCGCGCATCGAATAAATTGCAAACAGCGGCAGCATACGTCAGCTAACATGTAACTAAGATGCTATATAACTGTTCGAACAGCCGTGTAAATCTCACAAAGTATCTACCAGACGGGGGGAACTGCACGCAACAATCTTTGCTGCTTCATTTAGGTAATTATTCCGAAGGAATAACGTGGAATTTCACGGAAAACATAACACAGAATGGATCCGCCGGACAGATCGCAGACTTACCGTCTACAGTTTATGGACTTGGGTTGAGTATTTTCATAGGGTTTATTCTGTGTATTTTGATCTTCATGTCTATAGCCGGAAACGTACTGGTGTGTGTGGCTATTTATACCGATAGAAACCTTAGGAAACGGAGCAATTTGCTCTTAGTATCGCTAGCCGTGGCGGACCTTTTTGTAGCTGTCTTTGTTATGATTTGTGCCGTAGGAAACGATCTCATGGGATACTGGATTTTTGACATTCACTACTGCAATATCTGGGTGTCAATGGATGTGATGTGTTGCACGGCGTCTATTCTAAATCTTTGTGCCATAAGTTTTGATCGTTACTTACATATACGGGACCCCCTTAAATACGCTCGGACAATGACAGCGAACAAGATAATCTCAATGATCGTAGCTGTATGGATTCTCTCTGCTCTCATCTCCTTCCTACCTGTCAACCTTGGCTGGCACCAGATTGGGTTGATAGGAATTGAGGAGGCGGAGGAGGAGTTGCCCACTGAGAGGCCGTTCTGTGCGCTTGTGATTAGTCCAGTCTACGCCGTGATCTCCTCCTGCGTGAGTTTTTACCTACCATGCATCATCATGGTGACAATCTACCTACGACTATACACCTTTGCACGCCATCATGTTTCCAATATCAAACGGACAACCACATTCGATCAATTTAATGGTGATTCCACAAATGGTGGGGGTGGGCGAGGTGGAAGCGGCAAAAGTGGCTCAGGGTACAAAGTGTCCGATCACAAGGCTGCCATAACGTTGGGTGTCATTATGGGGGTGTTTTTACTGTGCTGGATGCCGTTTTTTACAATAAATATCGTCCAGGCCTACTGCCGGTGTATCTCTCCCGTAATATTTAGCTTTCTCACTTGGGTTGGTTATGTCAATTCTTTGCTCAATCCTATTATATACAGTATATTCAACAAGGATTTTAGGAATGCTTTCAAAAAGTTACTTTATCTCGACAAATTGAAATGTCCTTGTGCCCATGAAAACGGAGATAATTCAAAAACATCGAACTCACACACCAAATCAAGTGCCATTAAGAAAATCAAACTTCGGCTTTTTCACAAAAAGGAACCCAATCACAACGGTAGTATCCTACACAACGTGAGCTCATACAGCATTGAGACAAGACAGGCGACTGTCACAGCTACCTTACTTGACGACACTGCAAAATCGGAATTCAGCGATGTTTTGACAGCGCTATAAAATTTATTCAAGAGACAATAATTTTATTAGCATCTCGTAATTAAGATTATTAAGCAAAAATCGATGAGTGTCAACGTCTGTGTCTGACCTCCTGATGAGAAAAATACAGAGATAGGAAAACATCTCTTCAAAATAGTCACACAGAATAAGCGCTTTATGATGGTGTATGTTTACCCAAGTATTGTGACCTTAGTATACACTAAGAATAAACGGCAAGGTGGTTGTATTGGCGTTAAGTTAGAGGATTAGTTAAACATAAATAAGCTTACTGTGCCCCGTGTCTCCCCCGTGCAATGAACCTTTTATAGCAAATCAAATGCTGAAAGTACATGGTAATTCATAATTCCGAAATCTGAAAGGTGTTCAACATACCATATATTTTATGTTGTCAGGTATCAACTTTTTTCTGCACCACTTGCTATTTTCATCAGTCAGATTAAGGTCATGCCTGTAGCCAAGTCGTGGTTTTTAAGTTACTAAGCAATTATGTCAATGCGCAGGTCTGTCCCATGACTTAATTGAATGTAAATATTACATGAAATTTAAACTTCAGCTTAAGCTCTGGCTTCATCCGATTTAACCAAGAACTGCTGTAGATGTATCTTGATTAGCTGGTAAATCAGGACGCAGGAGTGACCAAATATTGAATTTTCTTCATAATCAGCTTCAATTGAGTGGCGTAAATGAACCCAAGACTATCTTTGTGATTTATTGCCATCGGCGAGACTCATCAAGACAGAGCAGTTGTGAGAACTCTTCTGGGAGTGGCAAGCTCGCCTCCAATCAAAAAGAAGAAATTGGAAAGGCCGCTGCAGCAATATGACTAGTCCATATCCGCAATACTTTCTAATTCGTTTTTCAAAGTTGGATAACCCAGTACAATACCTCGATTGTAATTGGTAAAGACAAAAACCCTCCTTTTCGTATATATATAAGAAACAGAATTTTATAGTTACTTGGGTATTAAAGGTAGACTAAAATTACTATACTGCTTTGGTCCGCTTTTAATCGTCAGTTTAGTGTTAATTTATAGTATGGTGTGTGTTGAGCCTGATGTAATTGCCTTAAATTGATGATATTGCGTAAGATATGGCACACGACAGTCTAGCTTGGGGGGTTTATATGTCTCTTTATTGCTAAATAATGCCACAAACTGAAACATTTGCTTCTAACATTCCAGTGTTATGACTGTAATTATGTGACAGAGTCTGAGTTTATTATATGTCAATAGGTATCAACTTTTACTGTCAATAGTCAGGTGTCGTGAGTCAGTATTTGATTATATGAGGCATACCACGGTGCAGACAAACAGAATGTGACTTAGCAGTTATATATGCTTCCAATAAAATCATGAATGTTGCTAAGGTATTGAGTTTTTCATGAAAACAGGTTCACGTGCCTGATGTTTCGTCTAAGAAATATATTAAGCTATGTTCCAGATGCGCTGACGAATTATGCTTGCAAGTTTTGTAACCAGTGATATTGCGTGTATCATAGACGGGCGAGTTCTGGAGAAGCCAATTATATGTAATCCACTTTTACTTTTTTTTGTCAAATTGACACAATTTTCCCTATTGATTCGTATGATAATAGTTGAGAGAAAAGGTGTATCAGATACAAAACTACTATACCATTCACAAATGTAATCCGATTTTGCGGCATATCCCATACTCATCAAAAGATGTGGAGAGTACCTTGGCCGAACTTTTGAACTTCTAAAGTAATTTCCCGGTGGACATACATAAACGATTATATTATATTTTTAGTCCTTTGGCTCGCGTGACCAAACCCTCAATTCCAATTGGAATGTGGACATTCTGACCGGTACAGATGTAAAATTTTTGACCGATAGTTTTGTGTTATCTGTCCTGTCTCCAGGGATCTGTAAGAGTTGTCAGTACGGATCGCATTCATTTTTTTTGAAAATGACAAAAAAGATTGAGACCATTTGACCTCCCAAGTGGGATAATTGATTGCAATTTCCTCAGACATTTGAACACATGTGCACTTTATCACGTAGAACCCTAGCGGAAATTTCACCTATAATTGCGAAAAAATTACAGGCGCAGACTCACTTGAGAGCTTTAATTGCAGGAGTGCTTATAAATTTACACGCAAGCTTCGAGGATAGGTGAAACGGTTATTTTTTTCCTTTTCTGTTGTTTCCTATGTACAAAATAAGTTTACACGCGTAGATAAACGGCATAAAAGTGCAATGCCTAGGGTGGTAGAAGTCAGGCAGAAGGTTGAACTGGTTTACTGAATTGATTGCATAATAAGAAAATACGCTGTCTCGTCTGCATCGTGTAGTCACCCAGCTTCCAAGAAAACCACAATCAACCGTTTGGTTTTATACGTTGGTTAGAGCAAAGATAGGCAGATTCCTTATACATATATATAAGTCCTACAGATTATAGATCCGCCTATTAGTGTACTGTTTGCTTTTTATACGCTTTACATTCTCTACGAAAAACCAAAGCCAAGATTCAAATGGTTTACAAGACGATAAACCATTATACCTAGTGCATAAAAACACACCATTTCAGATAATGTTTGAGGTGGCAAAAATGTGCGTAACCCGACGGTCAGTTTAGCCAATATATTGACATCAAGAGGCGGCTTTCTTGAGGCAAATGAGCAAGACAGCTAAATGGATAACATCATTTTAACAGAAATAACTTTCAGAACACAATTATCACTTAATTCTATATATTGATGTAACTAAATGTCCAGGGAAGTATAGACAAGGTGTTAACCAGCGGCAATTTACTCATAGTCGCGTGCATAATAAAGGCTCTTCTCAGGGCAATTCCGTAACAATTCACATAGTGCTTGTGCTCCCTCTCTGGTCTGTATGGCACTCTGCTCATAGTTGCAGCTACTTTATTTCTCATCATAGGTACGGTTCATTATAATATTTTAACTTATGTGCGGATTAGCTCTATGGAATTCAAAATAATTCGCATCAAAAGTGACGAGTGACATCGCTCTCTGTCCCCCTTCACAAACAACCCTTCGTGCATGATCTAAAACGGACCTAAAACAGCACTTGAAGACATTAGGGTAAATTTCTGTGAGGTTTATAAAACAAATATGCTCATAATACGGGAAGAGGAGTCATCGATTATTCTTTTCTAAACCTAACTTGTACCTGGTGCAAAATGGCTTTCGAATTCTGAAAAATTCAAATTCGCTAATTAACTTCTTAACAGGCGTCTCCTCAAGCATTCAAGCCAAAACTCCATAAATGAAGAAATTACCGGAAGATAATGACTTGATCTTTCTTGATAATTGATCGCATTATTCATCACGCCAGCTAGCAACCTTTACATCCCGTCGTCCTGGTATCACTCTGAAGAATTATGCGGCAAGTCACTTCCACGTATCGATATCAAACCCAGGTAGTTTACCACCTGGAACTAATGTCCTTTGTCTATAAAAGACAAAAGCACAGATACCTATTGCCAACATGCTTTTAAAACATGTTGCCTCCTTTCCCATTTTCACCTACGCTAACGTCTTTTATATAAACTGGGAAGAAAAAAAGGATGAATTCCTGTTTCATTTGAAACTTGCATGCCTTGGGTTTAGTCGTCACGGGTGAGCTGTGAAAAGGTAGAAATTGGAGTCATTTGTTAAGTCGAGATATTCTATACCAAATCAATCCACCAAGTTTACTCTCTGAGATCATGTCCTTTGTCGATTTTCCTAACCGAATAAGACAGATCTATTGGCATACCCATAAGGTGAATCGATTCCGTGGAGATTTAAGCTGCCTCCTTTTCAAAAGGCTGATATGTTTCAGTTAAAGATTTGCAGCTGATGCTTTCTATAACATTATACTTGTATTGTCATATCCCCAAATACTGGCGGTACTTGTAGGTGCTGCGTAACGTTTACACATAAAGTATAACTAAGTCTAAATAACAATCTTGTAGTTTTATCATCTATCAAAGTATAAATGTGCACGTCTCTTGCGCGCTCAGGTAGTTTTATCTAAGTGAGCGTAATAATGGGGTCTTCACCCTGACCGAACTTAATTGATGTATAAGCTATAAACAGTAGAATAAGTGCGTGCTTAAAGTTAATTACATACTTGATTAAGTTTGAGGTGTCAAGTAGTTCGGTAACTTTTGAACGACACAAAGTCAGTAAATCAATGCTGACTTATCTTATTTTTAATTTGCGGCAGTTTTTTGTAGTCTATATTGTTCTAAATGCCTTGTAATTACTTTTTTCTACTGTAAAGTGGATGCCTATACTGTCCTTCTATATGAACACCTTGTAAGAACTGCAAATTAACTCAATTCACTATTATTAATGCATGTACTCAAGAACGAAATTGTAAGGTTTGCGGATAGTTAAGGGTTTGAGTAGTACACCTTTTAACTTACGTTTATGTCCATACCTGTATCTGTGTAAGTAACACCATGCATAACATGAATATAATACGAATGACGATTTCTTATTGCATATGATATTTACAATTTGGTCTGTTCTGTCACGTCTCCCAAAGGGGACGATATAAAAATCGGTGGTAATGTTGTAAATTGCTGTGAAAAACTTCCAAAACTATTTTGCTTGGACAACAAGTAGCCGATATAACTTTTTAGTTTTGATTATTATTATTATTATTATTATTATTATTATTATTATATTCATTTTTTGTATTTTCAATGTTTGTTTTGATTTCTCGAAAACAAGGCATTAAGAATAAACAATGTGAACATGTACATGGGAGTACGTGAAAATTGATTATTAACTTTATGGCGTGACGGGTCTCTAAAGACACTAAAGACCATCTAGCTATTTTTATTGAAGAAAGAGAAATGGTTCCACGTGCACCAATGTGAAGATACTTGGGTAAGTAAAGAAGCTTACATTTGATCAAAATGACAAAATATAATCAGTCATATTTAAATTTAATTATTATAATGCTGTTTACTCATATTTAATTATTATAATGTTGTATGAAACAAATGTCAAAATCTTTCCCACATGGAAAAAATTTTCGGGTGTGGGCCGAACCCAATACATACATATACATAGTGTATATGCCACATATGAAGTATTTGTGACGATAGACCAAAAAGCTAAAGTATATATGCCTTACTTTGAAAAACGTGTCTTTTATATTGTTTCATATCATGCTGGTTATTTCGGTAGCGATAGTCCGAAGATTCTACAATTCGCACCGCTCTAGTCGCCGACTAACCCCAAGTCCAAACAGGGTAAGAAGATTTTTGGTTATTTGTAAAAGAGTTTTCAAAACATTATATAATGTTTTCAGGAATGTTATAACAACTCTAAGAATTAAATAGAATATTGATTGTAACCCATCGAATTGTGAATAGACATCTGGTTGCAATTACAAATACGTTGTTAGGGGTGGTAAAACATTTTTCAAATATTCTGCCAATTATATTATTTATATATATTATATTATTTCTCATATGATATCTTGTATTAGTCTAACTAATCAGCTTGTAGAGCGAGTTCCAACATACGTATATATCCTAATATCGAACGGCATCAAGCTCGTCTAAGATAATAACTAAAGTTTGGCCGTCAACGAATCTATGATGTATTTTTTATTATTTAACATTTTGTAAAAAATACCAACACTCCGGATTTCCTTCATTTAACGCACCGATGCACACGAAAGTGAATGAATAAAATCTAAGTTTAGAATATCAGAAAAATTTCACATACGATACGCAATATTCTTTTCAGAACCATGTTCAGGATGTCAAAACGACAAAGCGTCGACGCAAGCCAATATGATGTTAATAATTGCAACTAATAATGTATATATCCCGAGTGAGAATCGTTCACAGGTAAACCAACACCCACCGCGATCTGTGGGGATTCAGCCTGCTGTTTCAGTCGTGGCATAGCGCAATGTAGCAATTGCATAAATATTTTGTTCCAAAGTAAATGATAATTATCTCTTAGTTGCTGTTTCCTACAGAAAACTACAATTAAGATAATTAATTGTATTTANAGTTTTGACCGATAGTTTTGTGTTATCTGTCCTGTCTCCAGGGATCTGTAAGAGTTGTCAGTACGGATCGCATTCATTTTTTTTGAAAATGACAAAAAAGATTGAGACCATTTGACCTCCCAAGTGGGATAATTGATTGCAATTTCCTCAGACATTTGAACACATGTGCACTTTATCACGTAGAACCCTAGCGGAAATTTCACCTATAATTGCGAAAAAATTACAGGCGCAGACTCACTTGAGAGCTTTAATTGCAGGAGTGCTTATAAATTTACACGCAAGCTTCGACGATAGGTGAAACGGTTATTTTTTCCTTTTCTGTTGTTTCCTATGTACAAAATAAGTCTACACGCGT